CTTATAAAACATAAAATTGCAGTACATGCAGCTGACTCAGCTAACTTGAAAGCTGTCACACATTACAAACTGAAATGATACTTACAGTATGGTGAACAACTTTTCAGAGTAGCCAGTCGAAGTGGAAATGGAAAGTTGTCGTACCACAGAATGTGACATAAAACCCAGGGAATTCCAATTAAATGGCATGTATTTTGTAGGGACAAAATCCATTGTAATTCTAGGGAAATTAATGGAATTGTTCTTTTGTATCCAGATTGGCAAAGATGCCATTTTGAGACTAATTGTCATTGGTTCTCTCATGGCCAGAACACTGGCCATGGAGGTAAATGTTTATGATACAACATTCATATATTTCCTAATGTTTGTTTGTATTTAACATATACATTTCATATTAATTTAGGTAAATATGTCTTCCAGGTATTTATCTAGGAACTCGATACATAAGGAAATTATCTCTGCCAGCTGTTCTTACTTCCAAATGAGTGAATCTCTTATTACTGTTATTATACAGATCATAATTAACAGAGTAATTAATTAACCTGAGTTACAGATCTGAATTCTGGGATTTCTTTGTCACTCAAACCTTTCAGATATCAGTGTGAATGTCCCACTAACATGAGCTAATTTTTGCATACTTTGTGTGTTGCAGTGATCAACAAAAAGCTGTGGAATCGTGGAAACGATACCTGCGTATGGATAACAGCAAAGTGGTAGATATCTTTGTTGGACAGCTGAAGTCAACACTTAGGTGCACCTCTTGCGGGCACTGTTCTGTTACGTTTGACCCATTCTGGGATCTCTCTCTGCCTATACCTGTTCGAACAGGCCAGGTGCGACTGCAGCAGTGCTTTGACCACTTCACTCGTGAAGAAGTGCTGGATGGTGACGAGAAACCGGTGAGTACGTTGTATTACTGACGAAGCTCTCGAATATGAGCTCTTGAACCCTACAGTAATTTATTGTTGTGCTACATTGTCATCTGTTAAATAAAAAGGATTGGCTTTCTTCATGTTTTTCTGTGTTTAATTAAGCAAACTAAGAACTGTACTATTCAGTATGACTAATTAAATATTAATTAAATAAAGATGTCATTTTCGTGTTTGGTATTGCAATCACTTTTTGCAAGTGAAGTTTTAAAAATTCAGCAAAACAATAATACAGAGGATTTGCTGTGTATTTTTTGCTTATTGTTGTGTACTTATGTTGCTAATTTGTGTTTTCCAGACATGTTCAAAGTGCCAGATGCGCCGGAAATGCACCAAGAGTTTCACCATTCAGAAGTTTCCCAAAATTCTTGTTCTTCGTATCCTTTTCACGTTCAGGCATGTGATTGTTTGTTGCTGTGTCTTAGGTGTTGTGATGTAGGAGAGGTTATGATGAATGCCATACAGTAGGTATGCAAGGATCTTCCAAATTCAGTAGCATGTGACTGGTTTTATGAAATTCATATTTTGGTGAGCCGATCTCATGTCTCTTAACTAACTCCGTAACAGTACTTTTCTCTACGTTAGGAAGTGTGTTTTTATGTTTTGACATTTGAAAGGAGGGTGTAGAGTAATGCTTGAGCCATAGTGAAATTTGCATTTTATTGTGTTTTATTTTGGATGAGATGTCTGCATAAATTCTCTTGTATCCTTTCCATACGTTGGTAGATTTACATCAATAAATCTTACATTTGTTCAGTAATCTTAAAACTTTGCATACTGTGTAGTGTATTGGAATATGAAAATAAGCATACAAGCAAAACTGTAGACCAGCAACGGCCACCAGACCGGTGGACTAATAGCTAAGTGCAGAATACAATACACCAACCCCTGTGAAACCAACATTCAGTGAAGTGTTAATATAGTTTTGTAAAGAACTCACGTTTATGATCTGTTTGAAACCATATTCTTTTGATTATATGAATTAATTCCCCCCTTTTGCCACTGATGATGACCTCTTGAGGTCAAAAGGCGTTTGGCACTAGTGTCATTTATAGTGTAAACAGTTTTGTTTGTATGCTTATTTTTATGTTTGTTCGGTAGTTACTGCTAAAAAATGTAACCACAAACTCTATTGACACCTTTGATTTTGCTGTGTTAATTTAATTTATAGTTGTGTTGTATTTTAACCCTTATGCTGAACACTATTTTTTCACTGCTTTCCTAAAGGAATGTAATTTTGAGATAAAAATTTGATCTCATTATGAGGGTTAGGTTATAATGTATATATGTGTGTGTGTTTGTGTGCTCTTGTGCGTACTTGCATGTGTGTGTGTATGAGCAAGAGAAAGAAGTGGATTAGTCACAAAATTACCAACAAACTTAACAAGTTTGAAATATTGTATTTACAGAACACAATTTTACAAACTTGTAACTGTTTAGATTTGAGAAATATCACCAGAAGTGTTACAGTCACACTTAAAACACAATCAGTAGTTTGACAACCATACGACATTTATATACAATTTCAGATCCTTCATACTAGATGCTATGTAGACCCAGACGAATGGGTTTCTGTAGCTCAGAGAGTAAAAATGAATGTCACAGCAAACAATAAACATTACTCTTTGATTGGGACTGAAGTTGAATTTTGCGGTATCTATTAATGCACGATTATTTGACTGAAGTAAAATGTTGCAGCATAAAGGTTTGTAAAGTTGTTAGGTACCAGTAAATGTAGTGGAAAAATTTAGAAACTGCCATATTTTGGTGCTGAAGTGGTTTCAATCAAGGTTCCGTTTTGACCTCTGTTCCTTAACGCTGAACTAAGATCTAAAACGATTTTCACCCACGGAGCGTTTTCGTGGGAAGCTGAATGTAACTGTGGATTTCCCTCTCAACGGACTGGACTTAAGTACATATGCAGCCAATCGAGGACAGGGGTGTATGTATAATCTGTATGGAGTAGCCAACCACTCTGGTACAACCTATTCAGGACATTATACAGCATACTGCAAGCACCCCTACACAGCGGAATGGCATGAATACAATGACTCCAGGTCAGTTACATCCCATTTTGAAATAATTCTGGGTTGTTGGTGCGATGTATTATCTTCTTTTTAATATAATGTATTTATTTGTTATGAATTAAATTGAGTGTTGACTAGATGTAAATGAGAAACTGTTATTAAAATGGTTCTTAGGGAAGTATGGAGGGAAGGTGTGCATTGAATTAATCTGGCAGGGATATGAACCAGGAATGTACTCTCATTAACATGGTAATGATCCTTTAGGTTCCATAAGATATGGGGAATTTCTTGATTACCAGAGTGTATTGTTTGCTTCTATAGAAGCAATCTTCTCTGCTGGGTTAATTATTTAAAAATATTATAAACACAAATTATGTAATTCTTAAATGATTGTTTACATTTGGTGATAAAATAATCCAGTATAATTGTCAAGGACTGACCCGTGTGAATGAACATTTCCAGTTTTAGTTTCAGAGTTAATTTCATTTATTTCTTATTCCACAAATCTCCTGTCCTCTTTGCACTACATAATTTTATAATTTTGAGTAACTTTTCATGAAAAAGTATTGGCTACCATGAAGATTTCTCAGTGTATGGATGTGTGTGTAATGTCTTTTCTGTTTCAGCTCGTAGTGTACTACAGAGTGAAGTGCACATTCCCTCCTGGGTAACTTATAATGTTGGCAATATGGTTTTTTGTGTTTCAGAGTGACCTCCATTTCATCTCGAAGTGTGGTGTCAAGTGAAGCTTATGTGCTCTTTTTTGAACTCTCCGGCCACAGTTCACACTTATAATGATGAAATCTTACGATCTTTTTTATTGGCCAAATGGTTGTGTCCTTATTTAAAAGATGAATGTGCTGAAGTTGTTAATTTTTATTTTTTGTTATACATAATTTATTTGGACAAAGAATGGCTATAAGCTGTGGATAAATTAATTATTTATTGAGTTATCATCATCTTGTGATGATTTTTTCAGTAACACCGTATTTACACAAATCTAAGATTTCAGATGCTTAAAAGTGAAAAGAAGAGAAAAGTAGAAATGTTCAACTCGTAGTAATTTTTATAGATCAAATTTCTGACAAGTGTACTGTTGTACACTTGATTGTTTATTTTCACTGTCAGTGAAATGGTTATTTTACTACATACAAATAATCTTGTATGTACTTCATACATCTGCAAGATATGGTTAATTTTTCTTTTATTTACTTACCTTTTTTAAAACTTGCCGTTACTTGGGACTGCTATAGAAGGCTTCAACTTTATTTAATATTTGTAATCATACTGTACCAAAACATTCCCCATTTTTCATAATTTCTCTTCCCTTTTTGAGGAATCAACTTGTCACACCGAACAGTGCAATATATGAGTACTTTTAACGGTGTGTTTACGCTGTATTATACGTGACCACCCATTGACTTATGTTCATTGTCTCATGAAACATGAAAGACTTTGCTAGAAGTCAAAGTGTCAGTATTTTTGTTTTAACATTTCAGAAATGTAGATTTTCTGTATACATTGTTTTATCCCAAAATTTCTGATTATTCTCATTAGAAAACATGAGATTCGAAGTTATCGTAGGAGTAAAGATGTTGTTGGTTTTCTTGGTTGTGAAGCCGTGCAGTCTTAGAGGTGGGTACAAACATTTTGGAGGAACAAACTGCTTCCATCTTCAGTCTTTAGCCAAACTGTTATCCACCTACATGTCCACAAAATTTCACAGTGAGAAGTCTGTTATTAACACTAGCAAACATTCCCTGCTTCAGTTTTCTGAGTGTTTTTACGCACAGGCACTCAGTGGAACCTCTTAT